AGGATTTGGTTTCCCGGATCCTTCTAAAGCAATGATTCCCAATTTAAATATAATAAGTCATTTTATATATGGGCCATATAGGTTGCAAACTTTCGGCTTTAGAAATAACAACATATGCATAATATCTGATCTAAAACAAATTGATTTTCCAACATGGGTGATGCAGCCAATGCTAGTGGATATTTCTGACTTTTGAATACAGTATCAAGAAGATCTCTTGGAGATGCAAAATGATGAATTTGTTAAAACTTTATTCAATATAAAAGGAGCGATGGCATGGCTTTGTGATGAGACAATAACTAAATACCCAAATTCAATCGCCGTTGCAAGAAATTTGCTGTTACCATTTCTATCTTCATATTTAACTGAATGTGGCTCTAGTGATGTAAATGATTTGTTATTGAAGAAAAAAAATCGACTGGACATCACTAAATGAGGAGACTTTGCTGGGCTTAAAAACTAAATTGGTGCCTAATATAAAATCTATCTGTAGAAAATTTAAAGTCGCATTTTATCTCATTAACAGTCATTTTGTTTAATGAGATTTAATTTTCATTTTGTATTATTATTATTTTTATGATTAAAATAATCAAAGCATATGAAAAGAATGAAAATTTATTCAAATATTTTTTATTTCTGCCTTTTTCTCTATTATATATTTTGAAACTATATATATTTAACTACCTTTTAGTGTTTTCTAAATTTTTCTTTTTCATGGACGCCATGATCTTTGAAAGCTTGTATACAGTTATGTAAATTCGCTAAATCATCCTAAAAATTGGGCATTTTTATTTTTATTTTGGTAATGGTTAAGTTGTCGTGGGATGTTTAATTTTTTTGTAAGAATGTTTGGCAAACTTTTATCTTCATACTCGAAAAATGTTTTCAAAAAAAAACGGTTATTCCATTGACACCGCTATTAAAAATTTACTTTTTAAACCCTCAAAAAATATTTATTTAAAGATTCTAAAATATGAGAATCAAGTATTGAATGCAATAATTATAAAAAATTTTCCCATAGCCCATAGTGTTGTTCTAACAATTACTAGATTTGGAAAAACAAATTTTTCCTTGGGCAAGATAGCGTCTCGAATTGGTTTAATTCAGAGTTTAACTCTTCTAAACCGGTTACCATCTGATTTAGAACACATCCTTTTCCTACCATTTAAAATAGCTTTTTAATTAGTTCAATCAGCAACTATCCATAATATATGTGACACTATTTAGCGGTCGCGTGAAAATGAAAAGCGAGAAATAATTAAAGCGAGAAGAAGCTATCACGAAAAGACATACTGAGCGAGGCGATATTTTTAACAAAGAAAAGTGGTAAAGATTTTATTTTCATTTGAAAAAAAAAATTTTTCGCAGAAGATATGAAATCGGATCTCGGATCTGTCGGAATTAATTTATGTTATGACGCGGCGAAAAAAGATAGCAATCTGCCCATGGCAATAATGAAAATTTCAAATTGGTCAAGTGGCCTACAAAACAGAATGCTAAGAGATAATCTTAATCAGGTCACGCACTGACCGAGAATGGCATTCAGTTGGACCAACCCCAAAAGAAGGAAAAGGAAGGAAAAGAAAAGAAAAAAAGAATAAACCATTAACTATCTTTCGGAGATATCATTTGGTTTTTGGGAAAACACCTGTTTTATGTCAGACCTGGCCATGATAAAAGTTTGTTACCTGGACAGATAATTGGCGACAGACGTGCGAAGACGTCCAGATTGACCAGACAAAGAGATTCTGGACGAAAATCCAATGATTAATGACAAAAATGACATTCGGATAAGATAAGATAGAGATTAAGGATGAAATTACGAGTCGTTAGGGGTTTGGGATCACCCTAAGATATATTTTTTTTTTTTTTGAGCGATAATTTTAAACTGAGGCCACTAGCCACACCCACGCTGCCGAGCGTTCATTGGCTGAAGGGTGGCGTGAGCGGTAGGCGAAGGTAAACATATGAAGAAGGAGGGGAGGCCTGTTGACGCCTCTGAAGGGATTGGTGTGAGATGCCACTGTGAGAGAGAGGGGAAACCTGTTGACGCCCTCTGAGGGGATTGGTGTGAGATACCAATATGAGAAAGGAAGAATTTGGGAGGACGATTCCCTTAAAGAACCCCTCTAAAAGAAGAAAGTAATGGACTTCAAAAATGGAAAGTAATAAATTTTCCTGTCCGAAAACAAAGAAAATCATTATTGTGAATTTAGAATTATCAAGGAACCTCAAATCCCGACAAGCGCACCTCGGTTTTGGTCGTCCATATAAGCAGAGTCGCAGCGAGTTAGCAAGCAGTTGAGTTGAAGAAAGGAGTTGCAGTTGGAGAGAGAGACGCAGAGTTGAGCTGTGAGCTCTGAGACACGCTTCGCAGTAAGCTGACTGATATTCACGCGTTCTGACTTCAACTTCTAACCAAGAACAATTTATTTTTGAAGAACGACTTAGACTCACACCACCAAAACAAGTCTTACGATTATCGCCTGAAGATACACCAAAAACCAGTTTCTTGAAAAAACAACTTAAGATGTTAAGACTCGCCTAACAAACGCAAAGTGTCACGTATCCATATTAGCGATTTGGGAGAAAGATGCAGTCCTGTATTCAGCAAACAGATATAAAATATTGTTATTCTTTTTTTAACACATTTGAACTTTTCGAGTTGTTTTATTTTCTTTTACATATACTTGTGCGGTGTTACCTTTGCTCAGACTCGGCTTGCATTGCGGCCCGGCGACTGATTGATTTCGTCTACCTAAGATCAAATCACAACGTGGGTAGGTTAGACTAGAAATCAAAGCAGTTACTTCGGTAACCAGACGTTGGAGGCGAGCTGGGAACGACAAGGCTGATACCTAATCTAACCAGATTCCCATCCGAATCAGCAAAAGTTAGAACGTCACAGATAGATAATAAATTTACCTTATTCGGACTATATTCCTTATCTTTGTTGCCACATTTCGGCCGTTGGAATGTCGAACTGAACCGTTTATTTCGCTCACTAGTTCCATGTATAATAATGTTAGCTATCAGTTATCTCCTGTTAATTATTCTCTGAACGTTCTCCACTGGCTTAACCGGGTATTGAACTCACACTCTTTGGGTTCTGTCACTGGATCAAACCAAAGCCTTTATCTACTGCGCCATGTGTCCTCGAGAACATCTGTGCATGAATTTCTGGGTATTATAAACCTAATGTCTCAGCAACAATTTTTACCAGTGCTCATATTGCAATTTTTTGCTGTTATCATTACATGTTTTTACCAGAGCTCATATTGCAACTTTTGTTGTTATTATTGTTTTTCTCTGGCACTCCTTATTACTGGTTCCCATATTGTATTCATTTCTATGCTTGGTCGGCATTGTGGCCTAGCATATGTGCTGATTCCTTAAGTTTACGAATTTTCCAATGATGTTCTTTGTCTATGATCTCAACATGATCCCACAGAGGGCGGTGATCTCCTTTCTCTCTCCATATGTGGTCAGCCACGCCCGATTTATTTTTCCACTCTCCATCATGTTACAGTTTTCTGGTGTTCTTGAAGCCTTACCTTGAGGGGGCGGCCTGTCTCTCCTTTATATTCCTTTCCGCAGCTGCACAGGATAGCGTACACACAGTTTTTAGTCATGTTCTCCTCTATGGGTGGGAGGTCTTACTCAGGAGAGATATCTGCGAAGTGTCGTCAAGCTTTTGAAGGTTGTCTTGATGTTATATGGACCGCAGATCCTTTGTATTTTCTCTGATAACCCCTTCATATAAGGCAGGCAAACTGTTTTCGGAATGTTGTTGTCCTCCTCCTCTTGTACCCGTCTATCCCAGTTTTGGGGGGCTGCTTATCTAATGTTCATAATACCTCATCTCAGAAATATAGACAAATTTATCTTTATAAAAGGTAAATTTATAATTCACAGTTTATAAAGATTTATTATTTACCATTATATAAATAAATAAATTTGAAAAGAAATATTTTATTAAAAAAAATTATTTAAAAAAATACAATATTATCAAAATATGGAAAGAACTACAATACAATATCTATCATTTACGATTTTATAAATAGCTATAGAGCAAGATTTGTGATGAGGTATTGATTCCGAAGGAGAAATCAGAGTCCCGGGTTCAATTTCCAGTCGCTCTAGTTCTGTTCACTTATATATAAATACCACTGAGAAAGTTAAAAATCCAACTCTTTTGAAAAATGGGTTGAATAGCAAGACTGACTGTCAGCCAGTCTGCGGCAGATTACTGCTAAAAAATCTTTTGCCTCGTCAGTCATGAATTGAAAGATGGAAATGGTCGTCCAAGCGCGTCTGATATATTCCATTTGAGTGGCTATCTTTTGTGCCCCACCCAGGTATGGGTTTAATAGTAAGATTGACTGGATCCTCTAGCCTTGGTTGGTAACCAGTCTACCGGAGAAAAAAAGATGGGAACCTTCCCTGGGGAAATCTTTCTGCCTTGTCAGTCATAATTCGTAAGACATGATCGCCCAAGCGTCTTTCATGATTCGACTTTGTCCGACTGATAGAGAAAGAAGGCATGGCACGTGGAACTAGATGTAGCAGCAATATTCTACTGCAGTGGTGAACCAAAAAACTTGGAGAGTTGAATTAAAGGGAAATAACTGAGGCACCCGGAGGAGGCATGGCATATGGAATTAGAGCAATCTGCAACGGTGGACGAAATAAAGGGCCCAATTCGAAATTCCAATTATCCGAAGAAGGCCGGAGCATTCCATGTGCCTTAAGGCCCATTGGATAAAAAATAATGGTTGTGAGTTCAATATCAAGCCACTGTAGTGGTGAACCAAAAGACTTATAGAGCAAAGTTAAAGGGAGATAACAGGAAGGGGCACGGCATGTATACTTTAAAACAATCTAAATAAGGTTTGACGAAATAAATGCTTCGATTCGAAATTACAATCAATCGAAGTAGGTCGGGCGTGCAATTTAAAACGTTGTGAATATGGCAATAAAAGGACGATAAAAATTGTCTAATGTTCATTATCTATCTATCTATATATATTATCTATCTATCTATCTATCTATCTCAGTCTCATCATTATCTATCTATCTAACTATGTCAATGTGTAATTTGTAACTTCAAAATTACGTATGTCTATACATGTATCGATAGATAAATATTCAACGGTCTGTGTAGATAGATAGATATTACAGATATTGTTATAAATATTTTTCTAAACAATTTTATAATATATAGATAGATAGATAGATAGATAGATAGATAGATATATATATAGATACATACTAAATAAAATTTTTATCGATAACGAACAGACTGAGATAGATAGATAGTATATTTTTCTTCATACTGTCGGATTTATATCCATATATTTGCTTACATACTGTCTACTGGAAATACAAACCTGAATTTACTTTATAAAATGGAAGACTTCAAGCTTGTACGAAAATATAAGAATCTATTGATCAAGTAAGGAAAGGATTTATTATCGAACTGTTTTTTAAAATTGTTCCATCGTTCTGATATTTTGAAATCATTTTTTGATTTGCTTTGTAACGTGGAGGACTTCAAGCTTGTATGAAGATATAAGAACCTATTGATCTCTACGTATTCCTATATCAACAGAAGGGATTTCTTGAACTGTTTATATAAAATAGTTCAATCGACTTTTTTAATATTTTAATATTTAGAAATCATCTTCGAATACGTTTTCACAACATCGCCCACGTGACGACGACGTGATCATATTTAAACGGAACGCTGATCTTATATAAAATTTCAGTTATATGTTTGGATTAATTGTGCTCTTATGTCCATCGTCTTTTCATGTTGAATTTTATATGTTCTAATGTTAATTATGTTTAATGAAAATGTCCTGAAGATGGTCTAAAATAGACGGAAACGTCCGACGTTGACTTTATATTAACATTAATACAGCATAATTGCATATTAAGATTTTTTTTTTTGTTTTTTTTTATATTTTTCTTCATATATAGATATATATATATATACTATATAGATATATATATAGATATATAGATAGATAGATATATAGATATTATAGTATACAAGTAAGTAAGTAAAGTAAATTATTAATTTTCATTTTGATTACTATTTTGTAAAATTTTGTAAAATCTATTTGGATTAGAACCTCCGTTGTCTAGACCCAAATAACTTTATTTTGGTTTCAGTACCAGATCACAGCAAAATGGTGACCAAAAAACTTGGAGAGTTAAATAGAAATAACTTTTGATTTCAGAAAAGGCATGACACGTGGAACTAGTTGTTGATATCTACCTAGGTGGACGAAATAAAGAGCTCGATTCGAATCACCTAAGAAGGCCAGAGCATAGAACGACATTTCGGCCGTTGTACGCTCCGGCCTTCTTTTCAATTCAAATATATTTCTGAACTGAGGTTTGTAATTATTTAAGACTATTTACATGTTCGGACTGTTGTCCTCATCTCTATTGCCATATTCATGACGTTTCGGCTGTTGTACGCTCCTGCATTCTTCAGGTGAATTAGGATGCAATTAGAACAATCTCACCCTTTCTATATAAATAAAAGGGTCAAATCCAAATACCAAAGATAAAAGTCCGATAATCCGAATTTTCATGTCGGGTCCCAGGGAACTCTGTTATTTATGAGTTGTAATAAATATTTTAAAAATATTAAATATTAGAATACATTTAGTAATATCATATGACTGTCTAAATATATAGCAGGATCACCAGACCAAATGTAGCAGCAATATTCAAAGCAAGGAGGAATAGTAGATTTATAAATGGGAAAGTGACTGAAGGCGAGATGCCAGGTCAGATCTAATAACATTGCAGATTCTCCTTTGGCTTTGATCAAGAATCTCTAAATATATAGCAGGAGCACCACACCAGATATGGCAGCAATATTCAAAGCAAGGACGAATGGTAGACTTATAAATAAAAGATACGTCTATGGGAAAGTTTTTGAAAGCGGAGATGCCAGGTCAGGATAATAACATTGCAGATTCTTCATTTTAATTTATCAAGAATCTCTAAATATATAGCAGGAGCCTCAGACCAGATGTGGCAGCAATATTCAAAACAAGTACGAATGGTTAACTTATAAATAAAAAGTTACAGCGATGTGAAAGTGTCTGAAGACGAGATGCCAGATCAGGTATAATAACATTGGATTTTATCAAGAATCTCTAAATATATAGCAGAAACACCAGAGCAGGTGTGGCAGCAATATTCAAAGCAAGGACGAATGGTAGATTTATAAATAAAAGGTACGGCGGTAGGAAAGTAACTGAAGCCGAGATGCCAGGTCAGGACTACTAACATTGCAGATTCTTCTTTGGTTTTATGTGTACAATTCTGTTGGAAAACTTATCTCTTATGATTGTATATCTTTATGTGTGTTTGTGTGTGTGTTTGTGTGTATGTCTCTGTGTATGTGCATGTCTGTGTGCGTGTGTGTATCCAGTTTCTTCACTTAAAGTAGAAGTTATGTTAAGGCGTTATTATTGTATGCTCCGGCCTTCATCAGGATAGGTCTATATTTCTCAGATGAGGTGTTCTCACTATTTACACTATTTCATTCTTCGGTCTGTTGTCCTCATCTTTATTGCCATATTCACGACGTTTCGCCCGTTGTTTCTCCGGCCTTCTTCAGGATCTGTCTATATTTCTGAGATGACAGATTTTAAGATTGTTACACTATTTATTTATGTTCGAAACTTTGTCCTCATCTTTATTGCCATATTCATGACGTTTCGTCTGTTGTACGCTCTGGCCATCTTCAGGTGAATTAGGATGCAATTAGAACAATCTACCCCCGTGGGGTAAATAAAAGGGTCGGTTCAAAATACCAAAGATAAGCAGTCCGAGTTGAACGAGGCAATGGTGGGTCCCAGAGTTGTAATAAATATTTTAAAAATATTAAATATTCCAATACATTTAGTAATATCATATGACTGTCTAAATATATAGCAGGATCACCAGACCAGATCTGGCAGCAATATTCAAAGCAAGGACAAATGGTTAACTTAAAAATAAAAGTTACGGCGGTGTGAAAGTGACTGAAGACGAGATGCCATGTCAGATCTATATAACATTGCAGATTCTCATTTGGATTTTATCAAGAATCTTTAAATATATAGCAGGAGCCTCAGACCAGATTCAACATTCAAGCAAGGATGAATGGTAGACTTATAAATAAAAGGTACGGCATTGGGAAAGTGACTGAAGCCGAGATGCCATGTCGGGATTAATAACATTGCATCTTCTTTGGATTTTATCAAGAATCTCTAAATATATAGCAGGAT